TTGCTTTATATAAAACACCAAATAACATAGAGGATAGAACTAATCCTATAAGAGAATTACTAAATATACTTAGAGAATTCGATTTGGCACTTCATAATTCATGATGCTCAGAAGAACCATTTGGGTAAAGTGCAGTGTGAAAAATATTATCATCCCCAGGAACCTCCAATACTTCTACCTTAGGTAAACCTAATTCTTTATAAGATTCCTGATTATATGGGAGACATAGAGCCTTACGAAGTAATATTTTTGGATAGTAATCTTTATATCTAATCCCAGAAATAGGACAAATAGTTTCTTTATTATTAGTACGACTTATAAATAATTATATACATCAGTTATGTTATTAAGGTATGCGCACAAATTTTCATACTTTTCTATAAAATTACTAGTTATTATATCAAGGTAACTAAAATCGATATAGTAGTCATACAATTTTTTAGCATATTCCCAAATATGGTAATAGCTAATAATAGAATTATTAGGTTTACATCTGTAAGAATTGGCATTTCTGCTATAGGTATTAAAATTACTCCACATGAGTTGAATTTCAGCGAATACACTAATGCATTTCTTATCGTGAATTTGAAGAGTTCTTAAAAGCTGTTCAGATACCCATTAGCTTATCAGATTATGTAATCATTATTATAAGTATATATACTGCATATTATGTCTTGTTTTTTTAAATAAGATACATATTTTGAACAAAGTTCTTTTATTTGTTCCCATTTATCTAAATTTTTAGGAAAAGTGCTGCAGTAAGATAAATAATATTTTTGTAATTTAATATAATCTTCATTCAGCATTTTATAAAATATAACTGAATATAATTTAGTTTCGTCAAATGTCTGAAATGTTAAGATGGTAAAATGAAAAATATAAATATTTAGATATTTATTAATATGATATGTTTTTTAAGGTAAATCAATAAGTGCTATATATACATTAATACACTTATATAATAAGTGTAAATTTAAATGTGTCCTTACTTTCTGTTGTGTATGTTCCATTTTTACATTTTATAATATATGAAATATGAGAAATTTTAAAATAATTAATGTTCACATGTAGTTATGCTTATTTTAAATAAGTCTAAGTATGTCATGTGTAAATATAGAGAATGTTAAATTAAGCATAAACATATATTTTAGAATAACAAATTAACCTCTATAATATATATTTTATAAAATTGTATACAAAGTTCAAATTGAAATAAATTACTTATTGAATCTATTATTCATTGTTTATTCTTCATGGTTATGACATTGCTTCTCTATAATTTAAAAATAATAATAGCTTATAAATAATGATATGAAGTTCTTTTTAAATTATATTTAAATAAAAAGTCCTAGTATTTTTGAATTGTTATATATAACATATATTTAAAAATATTCTTATAATTTAATTTAAATTAATGTTAAATTGTGCGTATGTAAATAATATACAATTAACATAATTTCAGAAAAATTGAAATATATATAAACACAAATTAAAATTATTCATCATATAAAATATCCTTTAAATTTATATCACTTTTTTGGCATTTATTGTGTCATTTCTAATAAAAGGTTTATATAATATTAATAAATTATGCCAAAAAATTATGCATTATAGCACCGTCGATTCATATGTTATAATCATTTGAAATTATACAAGTATAAATAACTCTTTTTGTAATATATATATATGTTTTTATATGATTTTCATATCAATTATAATTATACATTTTCAGTATTAATAATGATTCATCGATTTCAGGATTTAGATTTAGAGTTTAGCTTTGGGGGTTCTTTATAGACCTTACTTATTGCTTAGAGGAATGCATGTATTTTGTATACCATATTTTTTCAGATTTTATGTTTAATTTTTATTTTTTGGGCACCATTTTTTATATTAATTGTCAACTGTGTGATAAATGTTGACAGAATAATATTAATATTTTAAATTTATGTGTATTAAATAAAATATTCAAAGGTATGTAAATTATATTATTTTTAATTTGCATTTTTATTACAATGTTACATAATAATTTATTCTTCAGTATACATATTATTTTATAGTTTATTTACAAATACATTATACTTTGATTTATTTTGTGATAAGGATTACTATACTATGACTGCATTTATAAAATTATATATATATAATAAGAATGTGATTTCATACACATAATATTTGATATATACACCATTAGTATAATATTGTTTGTTTATTAATCAACGTTATTAATTCTATCATATCAGGTAAATATATAAAAAAACTCTAGCAGTATATGAAATATATGTTATTGCCATGTTATAGAAAAATATGAATTTCCTTTACATTTCATTGAGGAACATA